TTGTCTCAGCTAGAATTTCCCACTGGGGTTTCCTTCTTGGTCTGTCCATTCCTAGCAAGCCCATAGGCTGAGCTAGCTTTCCTCATGGTTACAGAACCTTTTTCTAGTTTCCTATTCACTTTTTAATGCAAACTTATAGGATGCTATTGTTTCTTTCACCCATTTCAAACTCATCATAATAGTCATAAACACTTGGTGTTTATGCTTACAGAGATCATGTATCTGGGCAAATCAAATACTGGGGATGTCAAATAAGAATAGTATGGAGGACCCTATCAAGTTTCGAACAATTTGAAGAGTTGCTTTGGCATTTCACCCACTTTTCAAGTGGTGCACAGACTTCAAAGTGCACGATTCTTGGTTAGTTATGCTTGCAACATGTCTGCTACTGGAATATTGCAATGCATTTCTGGAGAAATCCAATTTAAATTTGCAAGAGCTTGTTGTGGGTACAAGAACTGACATGGAGGGCCTGAAGTGGAAGGGGTGTGAGTGCGCAGAGGGTGCCAACAGTGTGCTTCCTTAGGGGAATAAAAGGGACCACAAGGGACCACGTCCCTCTTGGCAGCCCATGTAGGGAGGTACCATCATTTATTGAGTGTACCTAGGTGGCAGCCTCTGGCTATGCCCATTGTTCTCACTGCAATCAGCAGTCTGCCCACTAGCCTTCCAGCCCGTCTCCAGGTCTGTTTCAAGGGTACATTCCCAGAAGTAGGACCACTGGACTAAAGGGTCTGTGTGTGCTTTGTTTTGGGGTACATGACCAAAGCCCCATAAAGGCTTACCAGGTTACTTGCTCACCACTGTAGAATGTTTTCCTTACAAGATCTCACTGAGTTCAGATCTCTCTGCAATGGAATTTTAGCATTTGCCTTAATTTGTATTCTTTTAATGAGCAAAGTTGAGAATCTTGTCAGAGTTTCAGGAACCATTTGTATTTTCTTTCCTGTGAGTTCTTGGTCTATGTCTTTGGCCTCTTTTTCCATTGGGTATCATATATTTCCCCCTTTTTGACTTAGATTAAGATGATCAACTGTTTAACGGTAAAATGTTACCATTTCCCCCACCCCCCCCCCGGTGCCTAACTTTTATTTTAATGTGCATGAACATGTCATTATTTTCTTTTATGGTTTCTGATTTTTTGTATCACCCTTCCACTCAAAGATAATTTAAAAAATCTTCTAGGTTTTCTTTGAATACTTTTATGACTTAACTATACAGAAATTAAGTTTGTGATCAATGTAGGGTTGATTTGCATAAAAGCATGAGATAAGAACCAACTTGCTTTCTCCTGGATGGCTGCCCTGGTACCCCAACGCCACTCCCTGGGGAACCTTCAGTCTACTGCAACACATGGCTACATGCTCACCAGAGCAAAGGAAATCTATTTTTTCTTTGTCCTTCTGGGTTCTCTGCCTGGATCTGCAAATTGTCTTGACTGCAGAAAGATGGTCCACAGAAAGAGAAACTGCTTAAGATATACAGTGATGACTAGTTCAAAGGAGAGTGTAGAACTCAGGTTTACATACCATCTTAACCCAAAAAGCAATAGACTCATAGTGACGAAAGTGCCAAGATTTAGCAGAAGGACATTGAGTTTCTAGGGGCAGCAAATTGTGAGAAGGTAAATAGATGGGAAAAGTAATGGAAGGTAAGGGTTAGTGCTCCGGCTTGCTATGTAGACTCTGCCATGTTCCTGGGCTGGTGAAGGTCTAGCGGAGTCTCAGGTGAGTAACTTCTATCCTTCCTGGTAGAAAGGGAGGGGACAAATTTATATCCTGTTTGAGGTAAATATGTGGAGAGCAAAGAACTTTTCTACTATCTGCTGTTTCTCAGTTGCCTTCAGTTCAAAATAATCTTCATGCCAAAGTAACTATTCTTTGCTACTGTATTCTGCTTCCCTTCATAACATAAATCATTCCTTTCTGTTTCTTTGTGGAATGAATTGCAATTTGCCCTTATGTGTATTTGCTATTTCTCTTCCCTGAACAGAATATAAACTCCGAGGCAGAAATTACCCCGATATTCTCATTTTTTAAAATTGTTTGAGTGTATAAAGTGTGTGTGTGTGTGTGTGGAGATGGAGCAGGCTGTGATGAGGTAGATGAGTAGGTAGGTGAGTAGGAGATGAGTAGGTGTGCCATGATTTCAAAGAATCCAGTTCTAAAACCCTACATTCAAATGAAAAACTGATTACTGTGAAAGGTCCTGGCTGTAATGATGACAATTTTAGACAGAATGAGGGAAGATGGTGAAATCATGAGAAAGTGAAGCGTGGCATTTGGAACATCTCCAGTTACTTTTAAATGCCCACAATGGTGCCAAATATCCCATTTTCATATTAGCTGAGCTCTGAGGTCATGGTCTGTCTTACTGAAATGGGATTATATCAAACAGAATGTTGAGAAGCAATCTCTATTATTAAAAACAGAGAAGAATTGCTACCTGGTACTCAAACCAGAATTAAATGGAGTTTCACAAGCTAAATAATTATTGCTAAAGAACAACTTGAAATAGTATTGCTCACCAAAAGGCACTGTACTTAACCAGCAAGGAGGGACAATGAGAATCGTTATGTTTAAAATTAGACTTTGGAGTTAAAGTTACTGATTTCAGTCATCTAAATAGTGCAATTATTAATAGCTCTGTCACACTGCTATTACAAACAGAAATAGATATCATCATCCTGGCTGAAATGAGGATTCACATGCGTGAGAAACAAATCTCAGCCAGTGATGAAGGGGAACATTTTTCTGAAAAGCAACTTGATTTGCAGACCTCCTTAGGGATCCTCAAGGGTCTAACTCGATGCTTAGGGCTTTCTTGAGGCCATGAACTCTGAGAAATTTATGGAATTTCTGACATTTGCAAATTGTAAGGACAGAAGTTCTTATCTCTGAATGTGCCCTAAGATCCCTGCCTCTCTGTGGGGCATTTGTGTAATGGAACGTGTTTATAATTCGCAGTGTCTTCTCTATGACCCCATTCTGAGTGCTCGCTCACTTTCCATTTCTACCTCCCCATCCCAGATGTGGCACAGAAGCACAAGGCTACCGCCGAAGCTTCCGGATCTGACTAGACCAGACAGTGGATGGCATCTATCTTATATAATAGGTTAGACATTTGACAGCTACCCTTTGGAAACTGTCATCTAAGACTGATTCTATGTCTGTGGAAGGGAAAAGAAATCCAGTGCTTATTAAGGATATTTAAGGAATAACTTATAGGAGTCTTTCTACAATCTACTTTTTTTTTTTTAAAGCCTGGTGGGACCCTCAGAAGTTGACCGACTTTGCTCAGCTAAATATATTGCATAATATAGCAAACATGGGGCAGAAGTGCATACACTTAAAAAAAAAATTAAACAGGTAAAATATAGATACTGGGTTTATTAGTTTTCTTTATTTTTAAAAAAGATTTATTTATTTATGCATACAGAACTGGGGTATAGGTCAGAGGTGCATGGGTGGTGAGAGGATTCACCAGAGACAGAGTGGGGAGCAGAACAGGCAGATCAACGAAGTACACTGCTGAGGGGAACAGTGGGCAGGTCAGGAGAGGTCTGCCACGCCATGTGGTCACCTCCGGGGCAGGCGGGGATGGAATTCATGCTGTAGTAGCTTTAGTTTCTTAGTGCTGTGCTTTAACCCACTGCGCCACCAGGGAGGGCCCGGTTTCTTAGTTTTCTAAAGAGACAACTTGACTTTCAGTAAGTTGTCTGCTTTTAGAAAGTATGGTGGATGATTATTTTGAAAGAAGGTTAGACAATTACTGCAAAATAAGTGATAATTATCATAAAATGATTAAACAGCAAAAGCATTTATTTCTTTTAGACAAGACTTTTTTCTGAGTCATAATAATCCAGTCTCTGGTTTTCATGGCATTTGAAGTTTTAGAATAGAATTTTTAGAACATTCTTTCCTCACTATTTGTAATGAATAAAATTGGGGGGGGGGAGCTTATTTTAATAGTCTCTTACCTAATTTGACAAGGACACATTTCTCTTAAAAGCACTGTGTTGTGATGGTAACTATTTTTCCTCTAGATGATAGAAAATAACTCGATGGGGTATTTAGCTCAGAAACCTTGTGGAATTAGGTGAGGACACCCTATCTTTTTAAAAGTGTTTAGTGAGCGTCCCAGTCCCTGTTTGTTTCTTTTGCCCTGAGCTCTCACGGGGTGGGAGCTGGGCAGTTCACCAGGCTCTTTCCTGGGCTCCTGGCTTTGGAGCCTCCTTGTCCCTATGTCCCTCCCTCACAGTCACCAACCTGTGCTAGGTTTGTTTCCAGGTGCCTCCCTGCCACCTCCTCCCTTCTCCAAAGCTCCCAGGGGACCCAGCCTCCAGCATCTGGGCCTTAGCAGCTTCCATTTGGGGTGACCTTTCGCTCCCCGCACTAGCCCCATGCTGACCGAGCAGAGCTGTGGTCAGACCCTTGCTGCTGGGCCATTTGTTTGGCACTCCTGTCCCCTCTAGCCAGTCCCCAGTCTCCTTCCTGGGGACAGTCATGCTGCCCTGTGTCCTGAGCAGCACAGGCCTCAGTCTAGGAACCTGTGTACTTCTGGGGTGCCTCTCCCTTTATCCCTGCTGGTTTTATAATATTCCTAACTGCGGAAGCTGGGAACAAAACCCAGAGAGCTGAATCTTTCTAACTTACATTCTGACTCACTCAGGTGGGTCTTGACCGAGAGCATGCTGGATTAGCTTGGGCGCGTGCCACAGCCATGGCCTGCAGGAGCATGTCGGCGAGGACTGAGTGCTAAACTAGAATCTTAACCATTCACACAGAGTCCACCTCAGATGCAGCAACAGAAGGGCGGGGCTTTGCCCAGTTTGTGTTTGCTGGGTTCTGCCGTAGAGGAGAGCCTGGGGGACACCTGGCCTGGCCTGGCAGGTCTGTTCTCTGTGCGGAAACCCAAGGCTATTTTTCCCCTGGAATGTGCAGTGTGGCCTCTGGGGTGTGTGCTCTGACTGACAGCCGGATCTCTCCTGTTCTCTCAAGGGAAGCCATCAGCCGCATCTGTGAAGCCACCCCTGGCACCAAGGGAACCTTCAAGAAGAGAAAGGTACTCCTAGGCTGTGTCTACCTGTGTCTTCTCCTCCTTCCTTCCTCACCCAAACCCTTCCCCTTCTTTTCCCCCAAGGCCTAGTTCTTGGCACTTTTCACAACGCAAAATAGCACAGACCCTTTCTCTGCCAAGGTAAGAGTATGCTGTCACACAGAATCCTGTTTCCTTACCCCTGGCCTAGACCCGAAGTGTCTCTTAACTGTACCCCATCCAGTCTAAATTGTGGGACAGTGTTTCCCAGAGAGTCTCTGAATCTTCCCTGAAGCTATAGCTTTGCAGGGCAGTTTTGTGCTTGTCTCTGGAACTCTCAGGGCTGAGGCGGTCAGCCCTCCTAGTTTGGAGACATCTGTGAACCCACAGGGCAGCTGGACTCAGGCAGAGAACTTAGGGAGAGGCTCAGCTGTGCCAGCCTGTGTTCTGGTCAGCCCAGGAGGGACAAGGAGAGCCAGATTCTGAGTACAGGAGTTAGGAAGGCATCAAAGAACAGAACAGGGAACTTTCTTTTTTTTTTTTAAGATTTATTTATTTATTCATACAGAGCTGGGGTACAGGCCAGAGATGCGGAAGGTGAGAGGATTCACCAGAGACAGAGCGGAGAGCAGAACAGGCAGATCGACGAAGTACACTGCTGAGGGGAGCAGCGGGCGGGTCAGGAGAGGTCTGCCGCGCCATGTGGTTGCCTCCTGGGGCAGGCGGGGATCGAACTCATGTGGAAGTGGCTTTAGCTTCTTAATGCTGTGCTTGCTGCACCACCAGGGAGGGCCCAGGGAACCTTTTCTTTCAGAGCAGGTAGTACCCACTAGAAAGTCCAGGAATTCCTCTTGATTCTCAAGGTGAAAATGGTGGAAACAATGACAATTTCTGGGCTCCACCACTCAGGTACAGAATCTCTGGAATGCGACCCAGGCATTTCTATTTTTAAATACACTGTAGGAGATTCAAACACTGTGCATACCTGGTTAAGAAAAGTGTTAATTAGCATATCTGAAGAGTGCATGCTCCAGCCTGAAAAGGAACCGTGTGTCGGTCAGCAGTGGACAGAGCCCACTCAGGTACCCAGGAAGAAGATGCCTGCCTGGAAAACAGGCCTGTCAGTTCCGTACCAAGGACATTGCTGATATACTGATGGATACACCAGTAAGAACTGAGCTATGTCTGGCCCATCCATCTTATGCTGGCTCTGGGTCCATTGGATTCTAATGGAACCATCTATGTGAGGACCAGCCGAAGGGTATTCTGGCGAGAGGATTTGTGTTCTATTCCTGTCAGTGTTCTCAAGACTCCATGGGGTTGCTCATCAGCCTCATGAGCTAGTCCCTTTCATCATTAGGGGATGAGTAATCTGATTCTTCTGGAATGAAATATGCTTCTGAGCCTGCAGAGCTGCAGGTGGGCCCTGGCCAGCAGCACTTTCCCCAGGTTTAATCCCCAGTAGGACACATCCCTGCCTCTGCCATTCCTGCAAGGATCCTTGTCTCAGTGTGTGTAGACCAGACATTTTACAATTTGATTATTGCACTTTCTGGATTTTGCAATTGCCTCTGAGTACGTAAGGAGGGCGGTTGGGTAAAGCAATGGGTGTGTTGGAAAGAGAACGTGCATAGAGATTAGAACAGCATGTCCTCCAGTGAATCAAACACTAAACAGCACTGCTTGATTTCCCAGCCTCCCAGCAAAATGCTGTCCAGCATTTTGGGCAAGAGCAACCTCCAGTTTGCGGGCATGAACATCTCCCTGACCATATCCACAGCCAGCCTGAACCTGCGCACGCCAGACTCCAAACAGGTCTGTAGCTCCGTCCACCAGGCCCGCACAGGGGCATCTCCTGGGACCACTCTCCCACTTGTGCTGGTGCTCCATGGAGCACAGGCTGTCATGTCTCCACCAGTCTGCAACGTTTGGTCTTTGCCAAAGGTTGCCCAAAGAATGATAGAATTACTATCTTATAATGTAGGCATTTACATTTAGCTATAAAATATGTCCATAACCCAAATAGCATTATAGCTATAATTCCACGTAAATTACTTTTTTAAAAAAAGTTTTATTTATTTATGCAGACAGAACTAGGGTACAGGCTAGAGGTGCAGGGGCGGTGAGAGGCTTCCCCCGAGACAGAGTGGGGAGCAGAACAGGCTGATAGACGAAGTACAATGCTGAGGGGAGCAGTGGGCCGGTCAGGAGAGGTCTGCCGCGGCCAGGTGGTCACCTCCGGGGAGGGGATTGAATTCATGTGGAAGTGGCTTTAGCTTCTCAGTGCTGTGCTTTCAATTGCTGCTCCACCAGGGAGGGCCTGAAGGTTAATTCTTTTAGCAGTAAAGGTGGGTTTCTGAGTAGCTGACCTGGCTACCAACAGGACATTCTGAAGTCAGAGGACGGGAAGTCCTGGGAGCTCTAATGGGGGCTGGCCTCCAGCCTTGGGGCCCCTTGCTTGCAGAGTGAGCTGGAATTCAAATGTGTCTATATAGCAGAAGACAGACAATGAGCTGGCTTGTGACCAGCACACTTCTTGACTTTGAAAGTGGGTCACCAGGGAACATGTTTACATTTATTGATTTTCATAGTTCCAGGTAAGCAGTCAGCAATGCTCCCCAGCCCTTATTCATTCCTCCAACCCTCCTTCATTTATTCCTTTATTTAATCCTTCAACCTCAATTCTAGACCCTCATTGCACTGCCTGATCAGTCAGCCTTACTGGCTTTTTTTTTCCCCCATTTTATATGTTCAAGTCTTCCTGGATCCTGAATAGTTTTGCAGGTGCAAACAGCTGAAGTAGGCATTTTAAAACATTTTACTTTACCTTATAATTCGGTTAGCGTTTTACTGCTAGTTTTACAGAGGCATAGTTAGAAAAATCCATCAAATGGTAGGATTAGGGCTTTTACTCTCTCCCAACCGGCCCAAGGGGCCACTCACAGATAAACCTGGTTATACTGGGATGGAGACCAGAGTGCTATTCCCACCCCCAGAAGTTTACTTCAATGTCATTACACTGTCTTTAAAAAGATAAAAATAGCATGGAGACTTATGTAGCTTTTTAAATTTAGGGCAGCTTCTAATGTACTCAGTGTCTATTAAATTCCAGTGTACGCTGCAGTTTATAATGCTAATGGAAATTTCCCATTTTAAAATTAACTTGGAATGTCCTCTCTGGCTCCTAAATTGATAATTTAGAAGAGTGCCCATGATGGCCCTGCTTTTGAGTTTCGGATGTAGGCTTTCTCATTTCTAAGCACTTGCTACAAATGGGGCAGCCACACATACTTTCCCCCACTCTAGCTTGGGGTCTATATCAAAAACTCCACGTCTTTGGAAATAGAAATTGCACATCTGAAATGTTTGGTGCAGAAGTGAGCCCAATTTCCTGTTTAGCATCCCCTGGATGTTAAGACCCTCCCTTGGCCACAGTTCTGCTTGGTTGTAGCTTGGAGGCTGAAGCAAGTGACCCAACCTCTGGGGCTCAGCCTCTCAGCTATAAAATGGGATCAAGGTAGCTCCTTCCTCACAGGCTGTTATGAGACTCAGGGGAGCTCATTCTGGCAATGCAGCCAGATGGACAGCTGACGGCCAGAGCCCACTAAAGTCTTATGCTTTTGTTTCTTTTATAACTGTTAGTTCATATGGGCGCCTGGACCAAATTTCAGGAAACCTTGTTGATGTGTATGGCCTGCCAGCAAACAGTTGCTTTTCCAACACATGGTGGAGTAATAACGGCACCTCCTTCTTGTTTGTGTCCTGCAGATTATAGCAAACCACCACATGCAATCCATCTCCTTCGCCTCGGGGGGAGACCCGGTAAGTCCTTGAAGTGCTTGCTTTTTCTTTGTCTTGAATTTCTGAGATGGTTCTTGCTTCAAAAATGTTTCCTAAAATCTAGAGAGTAAAATGTGATACCAACTATGGTATTTCCCCTTCCTGATTTCATAAACTGCTCCTGGGTATCATTTTGTCAGGAGTAACCCAGAAGAAGAATCTACCACTATTTTTTATTTCATTAGCCAAAGTTTGTCCACCACCCTTGAGGCACTGGCCGTCCTAGTTTTCCAGAGCTTCGAGGTATTCTTGTGTCTCCACTCTCCGCCTGCCCTGCTCAGTTCTATTGTCTCTGTTGGACTCTGCTAGGTAGGCCCTTCATCTTTATATTTTTAGTCAACTCAAAGGCTGAGGATTTACTTAGTGGTTTATTCCTAAGTATTTAGAGTTGGCGTTCTTTTCCCTCCAAATTTAGCTCTGCAGTCTTTTAATGTTTGTTTTGTGAACATGGAAGAGCAGCAGAGAAGAGAGGATGGAGAACAGGGGACTATTCTATAGACAGTGGACTGACCAGGGGGTTGCTGCTCTGGCTCGGAATGCTGCGTCCTGACGTCATGGGTCAGTGTCAGTGTTCAGAAAGGCAGGACCCAGAGCCCACACCTCTGCTGGCAGGGCCAGGGCACACTAGCTGGTGGCAATCTGGGCCTTTGAAGAAACTGAGGCAGGAAGCCACTGTCCTGGGAGCGAGGTACAAAGGGAATGGCAGGAAAATGCAAACAGCCCTTTGCAGCAGTGAGAAGCAGAAAAGACTCACCCTGAGAATGTTGTCATAGTATTTTTTCTTGATCTGGGTAGAGTTTTCATCAGCCCAGGGACAAATTTAAAAATTGGGACAACAGAATTTGGTTTTCTCAGAGTAAAATTGACTCCCCAAACTGGTTCTGTGCCCTAGGAAGATGTCCTTTTGTGTTAAATAACCTTTTTACAATAAAAGAATAGTGCCCTATTGGTGCTATTTTGTTATTATTGTCTTCCAGTCAAACCCACCCAAGGCATGTTACTAGAGATTGTGTCTGTAGGAGAGGCACATTCCTGCCTGCACCCCCACTCCCTTTGTCTATTTCTCTCTGCAACTGTTAACTGCCTGCCCAGATATGGGCTCCCCAGCCTTCTTGTTCTCGGGGCTATTATCTCAGTGCTGAGAGTTCCTGCTGACCAAGCGAAACTGTACAGTCAGGCAGGAGGCCTCTCACCAAGGACAGAAGTCCTGGTAGGAGGAAGCTGCTGGGAAGCCAGTGTCTGCTGCAAACAGCAGGCAGGTACTAGGATAGAGACAATATGCTTTGACTAGCGGGAGCAATGGAGCCCCCAGGCAATGGAGTCCCTGGTCACTCCACCCTAGCCTATGTCCCCGATAGTTTCTTCCCCAGTTTTGTTCTAATAAACAGGAGACGCCTGTGGATGGGGCTGCACATTGCTTCCCAGTGTGTTCCCTCTGGGCATCTCATTGCTGCACATGGACTCTGAGTCATCTCTCTCATCCCTCATGGCTCCCAACGCTGCCACTCTGTGAGGCGACAGGAACCATAGTTTCTTAAATTTGGAAAGTAACCCAACATGAAAAAATAGAAGGCAGCAGCACAGTACACTTGCACCAGGAGCTTGCCTCAGACCTCACCTGAGTGATGGCGCTAAGAGTGAAGAGAGAGCTCTGGAAATCGCAATGTCAAAGCACAGCACACTGTTGGGGTTGGAATTATTTTATCCTCTGAGATGCCCACAAGGACCGTCAGCTGCTTCTGTACAGAAAATGTCATGTTGCCAGGGGATAAGAAAGCTGGTTATTTTCCATTTTAATAAATCCAAGTGAATTCACATTGTGTATGAGTGTCCAATCAGTTTGTAACCATTACGATTTATAGATATTTTAATAAAACCAATACTAAGTGCTATTTGTTGTTCTGCAGCAAGTGTCTATGTCACTTAGAGAGTTGTGCCTCAGTTTCCCAGGTAAGAAAATGGTATCTTGAAATGTCAAGACAGACTGGAAAACACTGTTAATCCCTTAACAACAACCCACAGCGCTGGCCTACTATTATTAGTGGGTGTTAAGTGGTTATCAAACAATGCCAGACTGCCGGTCAGGCTCAGAAAGTAGAGCCGTCTCTCTCAGGGGAGAGAGAAGAGTCAGATACGTGCAGAAGAGCCTTAGTCTCTGGAACTTAGAGGTCCACCATGTGGCTGCGTGATGTAGGGAACACAGTCTGAATAGTGGTAACCCCGCCGCTGTGCCCAGAGGGCCAGTGCTGCACCCAGGGGCTGCGTCCTGGCGGGACCAGGACCGTCCGAGTGATGTGACACAGCACCTCTCTTTCTGGCCTCACTTGGAGCCACAGCAGTTTCTCAGGCTGGAGTTAGAGCTTGCAAAAAATTTCCTGTCTGTGCTACTAGTGACTCAAATTCACCCTGTTCCCCAAATACATTCGCTAATGACCTATGTACAGGGTCCTTGTGCTTATGCTTTTTATTGAACTGTGAGCCCTAATCACATTTGGAAGTTAAATACTAGTAAACACAACAAAGTCGGGGACTTTCCAAGCACCTTGCTTACTAGGATGGATCAAGTTTTCCTGAATGGACAGAGACCCTGCTCCTAAGGGGACGGTGGGGTTGGCCGCCATGGTGTGGACTTTTCTGAGCTCAGCAACTCCATTGCCTGGGGCTCATGGAGGGCTGCTGTTCAAGTCCACGTGTTGTCAAGCATCCTTGTGCACAAATGTGACATTAATTTGCTTCACGTGGGCCAAAGGCATCTGGTCTGACTGTTCTTTTCTCATTCTTTAAAACCTGGCACCCATAATGCTGCAAACCCAACTGCCAATCTTGGCACAGAGATTGCATGACACAGCAGTGGTTCAGATGATCCTGGAGATTTTTGCATTAATTTTTGTGATTATCATGGAAATGAAGACACAACATTGAAAAGCAATTCTGGTGACATCTCAGACATTGGAGAACATGCCTGCCCAACTCCAGGATTCCATGGATCTCAGTTTAAGAATCACTGGTGCTCCCTTAAGGACTCTCCAGTATTAGCATCTCCTAAAACCAGGACAAGCATCTGTGATGACAAGCCACAACCCTCATTTTTGCCAGTAACTTCGGAGTCTAACCAGATTTTTCCTTGACAGTAATGACCAGAAGCCCAGGCCACTGGCTGGTGTGACTGTCTCCCAGTCTCCTTCCCGAGTCAGTCTGTAAGAGAGCCTGTGGGCAGTGGCTAGCAGGGAGAGAGAGCAGCATAGCCGGGCTGCGCTCTGGAGAACAGCAGGGAGCAGCCATCTGTGGAGAGTGGCTGGGAAAGCCCCAGCCCCATTTTCCTGGGTGGTTATAAATTAGGGACTGATGTTCAGCAAGGGCCTGGCACCCCACAGAGTCCTCACTCATACTGTCTTTTCCCTTTGTCTTTTCTGGAACACTGTAAAGAGAGGAAGGGACTTGCTTCTGCCCAGAGAGTAGCAGTCAAGGAGCTTGGTGGAGAATCTTTCAGATGCTGAACACAGTGGCCTTGGACCCTTGTATGAAGTAACTCTTGGGAAAGAGCCGAGACTGTGGAGACCTTGACCAATGCCCCCCTGAACCTCACCCCTAGGCTGATGTTGAATGTTGGAAATATCACCTTTGCAGGGTAGCTTTTCCACTTTCAAGGATTAGAATTATTGCTTCCTCTGACAGCTTTGAAACAGAAATGCATGTGGTTGCTGGACCTATGTGAGGGCCCCACCTCCCCCAGCGCTGGAGGCTGGCAGGGAGATGCAAACCTCACACATGGGGTGAGACTTCTACATGGAGCTCACGGTACTGAGACAACCTTTTTTTTTTTTAGATGAAACTTTTATTTCTGTTTATCAAAGTTGTGCCTGCTCATTGTAGAAACAGGAAAACAGAAAGAATCACATTAATCATGTCACCAAAAGATGGTTTGATTATTATTTGGAAGTAGTTTTTTTAAAAAAGATCTATTTATTTATGCATACAGAACTGGGGTACAGGCCAGAGGTGCGGGGAGCGGTGAGAGGCTTCACCAGAGACAGAGTGGGGAGCATAACAGGCAGCTTAACAAAGTACACTGCCAAGGGGAGCAGTGGGCGGGTCAGGAGAGGTCTGCCGCACCTTGTGGATCACCTGTGGGGTGGGGATCGAACTCATGCTGAAGTGTCTATAGCTTCTTTGTGCTGTTTTACCTTCTGTGCCACCAGGGAAGGCCAGAAGTAGTTTTTAACTGTTATTTTTAAGCAAAAATTAGCCATGTTTTTAGCTAGTGAAGGAGAAGTTGGCAAAGATGCTTGTGAGATGCTAGGTGCAGGGGTCAGATGAATTTACCCAGTGGCAGGAGAAACAGCAACACTTTCCCCCTTAAAAATTTTGTAGCAATTAAAAAGGTTTAAAATCACAATTTCTGTCCAGGAAGAAAAGCACCCTTCTATCCCGTCTACCTGTGAGGGGTGTTTGTGGCCAACCTTGGGCCATAGTGTCCCCAGACCAGCAGCTGGGTCTCCTGGAAGCCAATCAAAATGCGCATTTGGGGGTGTCGGGGTGGGGCTCAGCAATCTGCTCTTGAGACATTCTGACACCAGCTCAAATGTGGGGGTTGCTGTGTAGACAGAGGGTAGCACAGGGTTTTCAAACCTGCTTCTTTTCAGAACCTCTGGGAGAACTTTCAAATGTCCCAGATGCTCAGGCCCGCATCCTACTCAGGTCTGTCAGCTTATCTGGGAGTTGGGATGCAGGCAGCAGTGTTTTGAGCTCCTGGGTGACCCAGCGGCAGAGAACGCTGGCCTGCATGTCCCGGCCACTCAGAGGATGGATGGAGGGCAGCACCAGTGCCATGTGCCAGCTGCTGCAGAGAAACCTCAGGCCCTCCTCTGGCCTGCAGTCTCAGCACCAGGTTTCATAGCAAGCCCTTGACTCCGCCCACTGTGCAGCTTGAGAACCTTCTCTCCAGGGCCTGGAGTTGGGCCTACTGCACTATGTCTGTCCGTGCTATCGTTGTGTTAGTGACACAGACACTTCACTTTTCTTTGGCAGGACACGACAGACTATGTTGCATATGTAGCCAAGGACCCTGTTAATCGCAGAGGTAAGCAATGGTTGACCCTTGTCAGCTCCTGTCTCTATAAGGTCGGCTAAATATTGCCGCAGTTACCCTTCATTTTCTCAGCCTTTCACCATAGTGAACACATGTCATGCCTCACTGCTAACTGATTGAGGTGTACGGCAGTTGGGTGTGCACACCCAGCCAGTTAGGAGAGGCTGGTGGGTGTCGCGCACACAGGGGCCCTGCTGTGCCTCTGCAGTTCGGGCCACCTAATCTGGACCCTGCAGCCCCACTCACATGCCGGATGTGGCCCCCTTGACACATGCAAGTTTTCAAAACACTTCTTGTCCTTTTGCCTGACTCCAGCTCCTTAGTGCATCCACTGCCAACTAAGCCACCCCAAGCTCTCGTCATGTTCCCTTATACCCCCAAAGCTGCTGGGCCTCTGACACAGATTGGGTCAAGGATTAGAGACCTTCAGGTACTTTCCACCCTCATGGACCATTAGAGATCCTCCCTCCACACCCACCACCCATTTTTTTGATCATTTATAAAATGAAATTTCCAACCCCAGGATGCTTACAGGGTGGGTGGGTTGATGTGGGGTGCATTGCTTCTGAATTACAGTCAGGTTAGCTGATTCATGAGCTGGCTGCTGAGAACATTTTTCTGCATGAGCCCAGAAAGATGGTTTTTAATGTTGGTGTGATCCTGTCTCTGCTCATTCACATCATCGTCACATCCACAGGACCCCGTGTGTGTTCACCCTACGCTGTTACCATGTCACATGTCCTGTGACACCCCTTCATTCCTCATGACTCCACTGACCTCTGACTTGGGCAAGCATGTGCCTCAGGGTCTCTGCACAAGCTGGACCCCCTACTTGTTGCATTCTCACCCCAGATCTTCTCTTGGTTCATCCTCTGAATCCCTTGAGGCTTCTTCTGCAGTGTCAGCGTCTAGATGGCCTTGCGTGGCCACCCTACTTATAGCTATTCCATCATCCTCTGTTGTCCCTTTTATCATACTTTTTTGTCTGCATGGTTGTATGTAATAAATGTGTTATATCATGTCCTCATGACAACTGTAACTAACCATCACAAACGTTGTAGCTTAAAACAAAGGGGTAATGTGAAATAAGCCAGAAAGAAAAGGAAAAATAACGGATTGTTTCACTCATAGCAGGAGTATAAAGGATCCAGGGAGAGAATAATAATAATAATGATGAACAACTATATACCAGAGACATTTTACGGGGCTAGAGTGAGGAATGGGATCAAAAACGGGGGAAGGGGTAAGTGCACTGGACTGTGGTGCACACGGTGCTTTGGTGGTGGGAAGCCCACGGGGATTACAACTGAGATGGAAAAAGGCACAAAATCATGTAAAAATAAACATATTATTTAAAAAAAAACAAAACTAAACTACAACTAAACTAAACTAAAACTAAAAACAATGACAACAAGGGATAACAACCAAATACTATACTGTCATTAACCAAAGTTCAAAGCACCTCCTGGGTCTTAGCCCCAGAACCTGGGTAAGCCTCCTTATTCTAAGGCCAAAGAAAACCAATTCCAGCTGTGATCCTGGCTCAGAGGGCTGCATTTATTGTTCTATCACAACTAGAAGTCGAGGCTTGTCTGAGGCATTTTGACTGAGGAATTGGCTTAGCGGAGAGGTCGCCATGGATTCCTGCCACCCAGCTTGGCACCTACTGCCTTAGGCAGCCTGTACACAGGTGCTCCCTGGAGGTGAGTTTCCTGTATCCTGCTGCCCATCCCTGCTGGCACTAGTGCCCTGGTCACCTGGACAGTCTGTCAAGTAATAAACACCTAAAGATCCTGGTAAAAACCCTAGGATTAGACCCAGCTCATTTTTTTTATTTTATAACAGTTTATTTTTACATCATTTTGTACATTTTTTTCCCATCTCAATTGTAATCCCCACGTGTTTCCCATCACCAAGTCACCCGTGTGCCATCACCATAATCCCGTGCACTTCCCTCCCCACCCCCCCATTTTTGGTCCCATTCCCCACCCCACCCCTACAAAATGTCTCTGGTATATGGCTCTTCATTTTTTCTTGTTATTTTCTCGCCTGGTCCATTATAATCCTGCTACGAGTGAAACCATCCGGTATTTTTCTTTCTCTTTCTGGCTTATCTCACTTAGCATGATCTTTTCCAGCTCCATCCAAGTTGCTGCAAAAGACATGTGTTTCTCTTTTTTGGTTGCTGAGTAATATTCCATTGTATATATGTACCACATCTTTTTAATCCAGTCATCTACTTTTGGGCATTTGGGCTGCTTCCATGTTTTTCCAAATGTAAATAAAGCAGCAATAAACATGGGGGTGCAGATATAGACCCAGCTCATTTTAAGCCAATTTATTGAGAAAAGAAAAAGGAACTCCATATCACACAATCTAGGTAAAATAAAAATGAAGAGACAGAAGAACATACCACCGATGTTGAAAAAAAAAACTCAGTCCTATAGAAATACAAAATCTGCCTGGTGTAGTTAGTAGTTACAAACGTGCTTCGAATCAAGAAAAAATAACAGATGATCAAAAACTGAAACACAATAAGAGAGAAAATATGACATTGCTACAAATAGAACTAATGGCTCTAAAAATTGCTATAACTAAATTAAAAAAATGTGATAGAAGGCTCCAATAATAGGCAAATATAAGCAATTGAGACAACTGGAAAACTTGAATGCACAGTGCAGTGACAGAGAACAAAAATTTAGAACAATAAAATAAAATAAATTAAAACAGAGTGTAAGAACTCTTTGGGATAATAGAAAAAGAACCAACACAATATTACAGGGGACCTAGAAGGACACTAGAAAGTAGTTTATAAAAAGAAATACATGCTAAGAGTTTTAATTCAAGAAACTAGACATCCTGATCTGTGAAGCCCAGAGTGAGCCCCACACCAAAAAGAAAAATAGTAATAATACCAGAACAATGCCCTCGAAGACACATAATTAAACTGTTGCTAAGGGGAGAGGAGCATACCTCAGCACCCTGGCTACCATGAGGCAGTCACAGATTGCCCCAGGTCACTGAGAGCCCCTGCTGTGGCTGACACCCATAACTTTTATCCACTCTTTAACAAAACCTGCTTTTCTGAGAAGCTACATGAATGCCCAGTTTCAAAGTAGGAGAGGCGCAGGGAGCTGCGGGGTGGCCGTGCTCATCACAATGTCGCTTTGATTCATCTTCATCAGGAAGGGCTCTTTGCAGGAGCTGGGAAGTGTCAGTGTCTGTCTCTAACGGGCCTGCGTCCCTTGCTCTCACAGCTTGTCACATTCTGGAATGCTGTGATGGGCTGGCCCAGGATGTCATTGGCTCCATCGGACAAGCTTTCGAGCTCCGGTTTAAGCAATACCTGCAGTGTCCTTCCAAGATTCCTGCTCTCCATGACCGGTGAGTGGCACGGTGGCCTTTCTGCATTTTACAACCTTCCTTATACTCCAAATGACAAACCCCCACACTGTGACCTAGGTGAATTCCTGACAGATGCCCTGAGTTGCACTGGGCTTTCTGGACCAGGACTGTGCTGGCCCAGGGTTTTCCTGGTCTATGCTACCCTGAGGCTGAAGAAACAGACAGATGGTGGCCAACATATGGGCGATGTGCTGAATGTTCAGAAAAGCATTTTCTTGAAACTATAGTGATAGTAGCCAAGGCTACAAAAAGCATTGTAATATGTGCTCGTTCTAGCTCCTCTAGGCTCGTGAGAGCTCCATATGTCGCCTCCTCAGGTCTGTATCCTGCAGGTCGTGCATGTCCCAGTGTCCTGTCATCATGGTCAACCCCAGCCCAACTCAGAGCCTCCCTCCATGAGGTCCTGTACTAGGGCAGCAGTGACCCTTCTGATGCGCTGGTCTAGTAGGTTCTGAGTGTGAAGCTCTCTCTGTGGTCCAGAATAAGTTCTAACCCGATCTGAGTCTCAGAGGCTTTCTCTAAGTGGCTGGATAGTTGTTTTAAAGGTCATAGTAAATAAGCACAAGAATTATAAGCTATTTAGTTTATTACAGAAATGTTCAGCGTCTACTGCTGAGTTTCATGAGGGCATTAAGAATGTTTTACGCAGCATCAAGACAAAAAGGAAGTAAGGCAGGTCTCCTGCGCCCCTGTGACTACGCAGGTGCCTCACTCTTCTCCTTTTCCTAATAAACCTGTTTTTTTTAAATGTAATAAAATAAAAAGGAAGTAAAACGGGCATACTGATTATTCGATACTCTATCCTCGATTGAATTTGCATTTAAAAAACTTGTTATGTTAGTATATTTACTGTAAATAAAATTTTAGTTCTTCTAAACTTACTCTCTCCTTTGTCCCCAAAACTCGTTCTGTGACCTAGTCAAGAATGAAGCCTTTGCCTTCATTATTGTGGCAGTTTCATCTCTGTGAAATCTTCACCTGTCTGGAAAGAGACTTGAATGTTTTGTCTTTGTTCACTGAGAAACTTCTTAGAGTTCATCCTACTCAGACCTTTTTTTTTTGAGATTCTTGGTTGGGTTTAATCAATGCTTTTCATTAAATTTGAGATTTTTGGTCAGGTTTCCAAAAGTTCTTCTAAAAGTTCTGCCCTCTTTCTGTCTCTTTTCCTACTTTTCCGCCATCTTATGTCAGTTGGTTTCCTTAATGGTGTACCAAAGTTCTCTGAGGCTGTTCATTTTTCTAAATTCGGCTTCTCTTTCTTTATTCATCACACTTTCTTCTGCCTTTGGAAACCTGATGCTAAGCCCCTCTGATAAGTTTATTTCAGCTGTTAGAGTTTTCAGTTTTAGAATTTCTAATTGGTTATTTAAAAAATTATTCCTGTCTCGATATTGATATTCCCTACTTGGTAAGACAATATTGCCTGGTATTTAGTTTTCTGTAGGTGTTTTTCCTTAAATTCTCACAACACATGTTCAGTAACTGATTTAAAGTCTTTGTCTAGTTAGCCCAACATGTTAATTTCTCTAGAGACAGTTCCCATTGATGTTTTTTTCCCTTATGTAACCATACTTCCTGTTTATTTTTTTTGCATGTTTCATAATTTTTTGTTGAAACTGGAAGTTATGAATAACTTCCAGATTGGATATCTCTTCTCCTCAGGTGTGACTGTTTATTTTAATGACGTTTCTAAACTAATTCCATAAAGCCTATATTTCTTGTCATACATGGCTAGCGGCAACTCTGTGCAGTTCACTTATGAGTTAACATTGCAGAAGTTAACTTAACTGCCTAGAAGCGTTGGTGCTCCCAGTCTTTGCAGAGAAGCTCTATTGCTGTCTTGGGTACACCTTCAATACTCAGCCAAGCCCTTGGCAACTCTGCTAAGTCTCCACTTCCTGTTTGTACAGGTTATAAAGTCGCCAAGAGGAGAACTAGGAACTCTTCACCCTGTTCCTGAGCAGACGCACGGTCCTAGACATACACACTGCCCTATCATACACTGGCCTCTTAGATTTCTAGAAGTTTGTAGAAGCTTATCAGAGTCCCTATGGACATTTCATTTCCTATCTTTTCTTTTTAAGCTTTTTGATTAAGCTATTCATTGACCTAAATGTTACCCATGGCCTAGGGGATTTGTGTTGCCTCTCATTGTGTTTTGCAAAGGTCCTGGGAAAGAGGCTTTCTCCCCTCTAGGCAAGCTCCGCATCACCTTGAACCAAGATGGTCCTGGGGGCAGGCCCTGTAGACCAGGTGGTCTGTAGACTAGCAGTTCTTGGGGGTGGGACTCCCAAGGCGCCTCAGTGTTGTGCCTGCTTCTGTGACTGTCCCTCTGCTGGTGATCACCGTGAAAGTGTGCGGAAAGCCACCATGGAGCTGGGAAGGTGAGAGGGCGCCAGATCAAGTGCCACAGAAGTGCTATTCTTACAGTAGGTCTTTGTTCTGTTTTTAACACATACTCCCTCATTGTTGTAAGTATCTGGTTAGTTTCCAGGTTTCTGAAAAGTTAATTCTGGTTAAAAAAAAAAAAAAAAAGACCAGGTATTTTGTTGTTCGCTCTCCTGTTGCTTTCAAGGAGAAGAGTCTTCAGAGGTCCTTAATTTGCTATTTCCCCATTACCATTGACTCCCCATTTACTCGTTGATTTTGCACTGGGTAAATATCATGATTTTTGAAATGTGTGTCTGTGTCTAGGATCTAGTTATCTTTACATATAAATTCTTTCTTTCCTAATTGAAATGCACTTTTTAAATAAGTCCTTTCCTGTTTCAAGTATGACTGGAATTTCCCAAAGGGTAGAGCTATAAATAAGGCCGGCATATTTGACTAAACCCTCACTTGCTTTCCACAGATGCCCAAGACCTAGCCGTGTGAGGGTGATAACAGACATTAGATTGTTGGTTTTGGCTGCAAGCTAACGTTGGATCCTCTTTGCACAGAATGCAGAGTCTGGATGAGCCATGGACAGAAGAGGAGGGAGAGGCCTCAGACCACCCCTATTATAACAGCATTCCAAGCAAGACCCCTCCTCCAGGGGGGTTTGTGGATGCCCGACTGAAAGCCAGACCCCAGGCTCCTGACATGACCCAGGTAGGTCTTTCTCCTTTCTCTTGGGTGATGGCTAACTGGACTTTATTTTCAGCTAATTTTGTCTGAATAACTCACAAACCTTCTCCCCTTGGATTTCACAAAGCAGAAAATTAGAGGAGTCTTCTGTTTCCACATCACATGTGTCAAAGCCATGGAATGCCTTTGTGATTCCTGAGGTTTGAATCTCCGGTTCCTCTCTCCATCCTAGGAAACATCCTGTTAAACTGTGATCTTAATGAAGAGGAAAGAGTTTGAGGCTTTTTAGATGCTTTGGTGTCTCTGAAAAGAAAGTGGCTATAGGTTTTTTAAATGGTGAGAATTTTGTAAGTTTCTCTGTTTAGTCATTTCCCTGATTTTCTCTCCAACCCAGGATGCTATCATGGCAATTTTTCCTAGAGTTATTGCATCCATCTAATGTCACCTACCTTATGTGAGTGACAAAGGCACCAGCAAATGTGGCAAAATAGCACTGAAATCCAGTGTCTACTCCTGTGACACAGAATTGACTGGGTGGGCTTGCCTGGGCACGAACAGCAATTTGGGGGTGTTGGGGGCGTGTTCTGACTGTGGGTCCACTCCAGCTGGGATTTCTTTTGGGTCCTGTTGAGTGCTGCAGCTGCAAGTGGAAGAGCTCAATTTATAGCCACGCTCAGGGAGGGTGGTGGGGTGATGCAGAGTGGGAGTGTACATTCTTGATGAGGTGCAGCCTCTTCACACCCACAAGCTTATTTTCCAAATCTGCATGCCACTGTGATGCATGAAGGGAAAACTGGATGTGATTGGGGTTGCAGTCACCATGTCAAGGTCCTCACTATACTACTGTGGCTCTCAAAGATGAGGAGGTGAGAAGAGAGTCACTTTTCTCCTTTATGCGTTAACATGTGCTTATAGTTTGCAGGGAAAGAGCAAACTTACTACCAGGGACGACACTTCGGAGACCCGTTCTGTGAAGACTGGCAGCAAACACCTGTCAGGCAAGGTGAGAGATGTTGGGGAGCTGGCCAGAAACAAAAAATAGAAATGCCAAGTGTCCCCCCAGAGGGTCATCTGGGGAGCAGCAGAGTAACCACAAAAGTTCCTGCTGTGGGTGGGGCTGCAGGCTCCCATGTGATGGGAGAGATGAAATAAAAGGCTGTTGGGGATGTTGCTGGCCCCCTGGATGATGCTGCCAGGCGCCAGGACTGCCTGGTTCCCCCCTGTACCCCCTGTCACGCCCTTGGGGATGGTCCAGCTTCCTCCCCCGCAGGGCTTGATGCTCAGGGGGTGATGCCCAGGGGCACCTCCGTCCATTTCAAACTGGAGTTGCTTGGCAATCTGTGAAGTGTGTTCTCTGCCCTCTCTAAGTGTCCACCACAGGGGCTGAGCTTCTGTGACCTCCAGTAGAATCTAATAGTTCTCACTACCTGCCCTCACCCACTCAGGTCAGCGCCAGGAAGAATGGAGATGCTCGCTTCAGGCAGAGGTGGCCCCTGGAGTACAGCCCCTACAGTCATGGGGGGCGGGGGGACTCTCCTCGGGGAGGACAATAAGCCTCGCAGCTTATTGAGGCATCCCACACTAGAAACGGGCAGAGGAGACTTAGAGCCAAGTGCTAAGTGCTAACCAAGCCTTTACTCTCTAGACAGTTGTTTACACACACACACACACACACACACACACACACACACACACTTGAAAGTTCCATTGAATTTTAAACTCTTTCTCTCCTGAAACATTTCTATAAATCTTCCAATACTTCCAGGACTTGAATTACTCGCTCTACAGTGTCTGAAGGACATGGAGCCATGAGTTAGTTTAATGAATGGAGATCTAATTTATGCTTCTCCGTATATACATTTAAGCATTTATTGCTTTATGTTAGGGTTTTCCCCATCATCACAGAGATTTGTGCCAGGAAACTAATAACAATGCATTTGAAAATGTCCTCCATGGAGATCATCCCGGCTCATCGCCCCCAGCCAGCAGAGGACCACCAGGCTTCCCACCTGGTGGAACAAATCAGAAGAGCTCCCACATGCCATGGCCTCAGAGTGGCTCCAAGGAGCAGGACGATGTTTTCTATATACTATATATAGAACATCATGTGTTCTATATATGTGTAAAATGTATTTATATACAATCGGAACATAGACAAAAGATAAATGCTAAAGACTAAAAGAGACGCTATTTCCATTAGATATTCACTTTTTTTGAAAAACTGTATCAGGCTTAGTTTGAAATTTTCATTTATTGAAATTTTCTGGTTGGATCAAGAAAGAACACTGGGAGAAACTTATCAGGGCAAAAATGACTCTAGGCCGCAACAGAAGACTCACAACTCTCCACTCATTTCAAGGTCTCATTTGAAGGCATTAAGTTTCCTGTAGCAGTCCTCTGCCCATCTGTGCCTGGGCAGGGGCTTCTTTCCTCCCACTCTCCCTCTGCAGGGCAGTGGCCTCCTGCCTGCCCATGACCTGCACCTGCCGGACTTCTCTGCACTGACCTCCCTCAGCGGAGGCCGCTCTCCTAAGGCCGCAGGCTTGCAACTTGCAGGCCTCTCTCAGCAAACCTGTCTCTTTGGGGCAGCTCTCCCTGCCTGCTCATGCCTATGCAAGTGTCCAATACTCCTGTTCTTTTCCCTGATAAACTTGCTCTGTAAATATTAAAAAAAGCAAGAAAGCATAAAGTTCCCTTTCCTGTGCAGCAAGAACGTTGTACAGAATATCCTTGCTACTTTGTCAGCAGTGATTCCCCCCCTATATGGAATTATCTCTGGTGTCCGTGAGGGGCTACACTACCCCCCACAGTGGTGAAAGGCCATCATCACGAAATTAGTCATCAGACATTTTATCCTATCCTCTAAAAAAATTAGCCTGTCTAAGTTCCTTTGCAGACTGACTTGCTGGACACACAGGGACCTGCCAGCTGCAGGTAGCCTGCCCTCGCCAGACCGTGGGAGCCAGCAGCAGCCTGGGCAGCACTCAGCTTAGGAGTGGGAGTGGCCTTGGTCCTGGACTTTGCAGAAGATTCTCCCCTGGAAAGGAGGGTCAGCAGGGCGCTTACAGGCCGGAGACAGTGTGCCTGCCCAAAGTCCTCCCCTGGGCTGGGAAGGCAACTTTAAAATCCCCAAGAGGCTGAGCAGCTGCAAACCCTCGTGCCCACAGGGTGTGAAAGGAAACCTCTTTCTGAAGGGCAAAGGGTGGCCTTGAGACTATGTCCATGTGTGTGAGAAACAGGTTCTCCCAGAAAGCATCACATCACACAGTGACCCATATACGTGTTTTCCAGCAGCTCCTCACTCACCTCGGTGACAACAGCAGGACACCACCCCCAGCTCAGCCAGGCCAGCCAGGATGTCCTGGGAGACACAGACTGCTCCGTTTTAGTCGGGGAGTCTCTCAGTTCGTCATGAAGCAACTTCACAAAACAGCCCTTGCACTGTGCGGCTAGAACCACTTAATTCTAAAGCAGTCACTTACACTTAGCAGTAACACTTGTTCTGCTCGGTCATTTATCTCAGGGCCTTAGAAAAAGGGGATGAAGAGACCAAGGCAGCCTCCCCCACAGGTTATGTGCTTGCTCTGTCTCCCAGGCCCGGGTCAGGAGCCCCAAGTTCTGGGAAGGCCCCTCCCCATCATGGCTGGTCCCACTCTTGGACAGGAAGGATGGGAGAGCACCCTACCAGCACACAATTGTGCATGACAATGCAGTGGGGGTGGGTTGAAGGCCTGGCTGCCTGCAAGCTTTTCCCTATAAAATATTGGGTGGCTAAGCGACAGGCGAATGCTAAGATTACCATTGTAAGAGATGAAAGGACGTGTTTCTTGTTGTAGGGTCGTTGGACATCTACAGCATGCCAGAGGGGAAGGCGCACTTGGCTCCTGCTGGAGAAGCTCCCACCTACGTCAACACCCAGCACCTCCCGCTGCAGGCCGGAACGGCCTCCGGCAGCAGTGCAGAGAGCAGCCCGCGCAAAGACCTCTTTGACATGAGTGGGTTTCCATTTGCTTCTGCTTTACTTCTCCTTTGAGGTTGCTTTTTTCTGCTTTTTATTTGCAGCCTGTGCAATTACTGAATGTTCTGCTAGTGGGGTTTGGATTAACGGTGATGACTAGCTGCTCTTTTCTGGATCATGACTGGGCTTTTCAAAGCTTTGAACTTGGCCAACATCTGCTTGGGATTTTAATCTTCTTCAGTCAAGAGGAAAAGCAGGTTCCTTCTCTTTTTTTTTGGAAATGATTTTCCTCCTGAATATCTGCAAATCTATCAAGGCAAACAGTATACATCAATACATGCACTTGCTTCTTAGTCACTTAAATATTAATTGGCTATTAGATGCCCAATCCTGATCAGTTGCTCAGGACACCTGGACAGAATGGCCTGGCCCCTTTTTCTTCAGAGCTCTTGGGTCTGTTGAGCAAGACAAACACATAAACATGCAGGTGCATGCAACCTTCCCCGTGAGTGCAATGCTCACTCTCCTGCACTTTTTCACACATTCTCCCTCTTTCTCCTCTTGGTCCTCTTCATCAAGTACCTACCATGTGTCAAAAGCATTTTATTTGTTGGGGATAGACACAAAAGCAAAATAGACAAAGTCTGACTGTCACAAGTTTTCCATGACAGTATGCATGACCAGGCAGGAATCCATATACAGTGATTTCTGGGCCAGAGCCAGAGGAGAGTTAGACTGGGCTGGGTTTTGAGATGGAAAATGGGAACCAGAACCCTAGATTTCTACTCCTGTTCCCAAAACCAGAGAAGGAGAGACAGAGAATAGAAAGGGTTTTGGAGAGGCCCGTATCTATTGAAGAATATGCAAAGAATAAATTCAGCACTCTGTGTGCTTTATCTTGAACTACTAGAGCTAAATAATCGTGGTGGTGGTGATGATGGTGATGATGACAGTGATGGTGGTGGTGGTGATATTACTGAGAATAATATAAATGTTCAGCTATTTCAGAAAAACCAGGGAAAGGTAGGATAAATCAATAAATCTTTGTTCCTCCCCAAACATGCAGAATATTTAACAAAAATTAAAATGACTTAATTTCAGATCCATTTGCGCATTCGCTCTGCCCATCTCCTTACTAACATTTAAGTGAGTACGTCCGGCATATAGACTGTTCCAGGAATACGTCGGTATCTGGGGATATAACGTGACCAGGAGAAAGCGGACTCTGTCCTGGCGGTACCTGCTTGCACAGAGTGATCCAAACGACTGCCACAATGCCTTGACCTTGCAGAGTGCTGCGCGCATTCTCCTGAATGCCTCTGCATGTATCTAGATGTACCTGCATGCATCTCACCGCATTTGAAAATTGAGCATTGCGACTTGATTAGGTGTGCCAGGCTGATTTTTTTGTTGTTGTTGTTGTTGTTGTTGTTGTTGTTGATTGTTGCTGCTATTAGGTCCTCAGTGAGTAGTGTGTTCTCAAGGGTGTGAAGTTACACTCCTTCTCAGCTGCTCAGGGGACAGAAACAAGCAAAGGCCTAGATGTTCTAGCCTGAGGCAAGACACGCAGGAGTCACCCCGTAAATGGCAGTTATCCTCATTTAAAAAATTTGCTGATGCAAAGATTTTGACATGAGCCTTTGGTGGTTTGGGTATACATGGCTGTGCCGGTTATCAAAGCCTTTCAGCTTCCCTTCCCCTTTGGGTACTTCCTTTGGTTCTGGAAGGTTTTTACTCAGAAGAGAACAGATTTGTTCAAGAGGCTAGCTGCTGTTCCAGAGAAAGTAGATGGCATGTAATATGCAAGGCCTCCTGCAGCACTCAGAAATAGTCATTCTATCCAGCTAGACAAAGGGTGTGCTTGAAACTTTGGCACAAGGCACCATGGCCAGCTGCCTTGGCAAAGCAGACTCATCAGAAAGAGTCATGCCGAGATTCAGGCGGTACTTTCAAATGCTTGTCATGGAGAGTGCAGTTCGATCACTTTTCTTTCACTTCTCCCCCCACTCCGCCCCACCCCTGTGGAAGTTGCCTTACATTTCCATCTCTCACATTGTGCTTTTTAGTATTTATTCTTCTTGGGTTTACTTATTGCTGGTAAATGTTGTTGACAGAACCGTTCGAAGACGCACTCAGGAACCAGTCCTTGGGGCCTGTGCTGAGCAAGGCGGCCTCTGTGGAGTGCATCAGCCCCATCTCGCCCAGAGCCCCCGATGCCCAGATGCTGGAAGAGCTGAACGCAGAACCTTGGTACCAAGGAGAGATGAGCAGGAAGGAGGCAGAGGGGCTGCTGAAGAGAGACGGGGACTTCCTGGTCAGGAAGAGCACCACCAACCCAGGCTCCTTCGTCCTCACTGGCATGCACAACGGCCAGGCCAAGCACCTGCTGCTCGTGGACCCGGAAGGCACGGTGAGCCCGGGGTCGGTGGGGACCGCGCCCACCTGCCTCCGCCCCACCACCTCCTGTGGGTGGCTGTGCCGGCAACCCCATTTCCCTCCTCCGCCACTGGTGTCACTGAGATCAGTCCCCCAGGACTCTGGAGCCCAGAAGGACTTAGTGTTTAGGCTAGAGTTGGGCTGCAGGAGCCCTTTCTCACAGGCTTGCGCAAGGTGTAACACCTGGAAAAGCACCAGGGCCGGGCTCAAAGCCTAACTTCTCATATCTTCTTAAAATAAATAAATGCAAAGGCTGAGGATGTTTTTCCTTCCAAATGCATTCATAGTGGCATTTAATAACAAAGACCTCTTTTGTTAGAATTTTAGAATTCTTTTCAGAAAGTTCTGTTTCCTCTCTGAGGCTACTTCCTAGAGTGTCTATTTCTAGTTCCTGTTCTCGGTGGTAGGTTATTTTAATTGCTTTTTCACAACAGTGCCTCAGGCAGAGAAATGTGGTGTGATCTTGTGCCCCTAAATGTTGCTGATTTCAGCAGCTCTGCAAGAGGCATGCCTTTGCAAACCGGAACACTTGTCTTTTGCGTTCTAATCCCCTCCTTACACGTGTTCTTATCCCTGGTCTCTGGCCCGTGTCTTTGATGCTGACCAGGAGAGGGCGCCCTTGTCTTGTTCCTCAAAGGGAATGGTTAGGCTTTGCTCCCTCAATGATGTAAGCCCTTGATGGCTTGTCCTGTTATTCACTCAACAAATGCATGCTGAGTAACTCCCACATTCAGGTATTGTTTTTGGTTCCTGGGATAGGTCAGTGAGCCAGTTTATTTTATTTTATTTTATTTTAATTACTTAAAATTAATTTACTTTTATTGCAGTAATATTGGTTTATAACACTGTGTCATTTAAGGGAATAGCTTCACACCGCCTCAGATGTATGTCACCACACCCACCATCCAAGCACCCACAGTCCTCTACCCTGGACCACTGGCTCTCTCCCTCCTTTCCCCCTCGCAAACCCCCTCTCCCCCTCCAGTAGCCTCAATTCTGCAGTCATATTTCTAGGTAAATTTTATTGCTGTTTAGTTTTGCAGTGAGCCAGTTTAAGAAGAAAATCTCAGCTGTGGTGGAATTCATACATATAAATTATCTAATTATTTTTATCCTGTCTAGGTATTGAAGTTTATCTAATGCTTATTCAGCATCTTTTGAGATAATGTAGTAAGGATGTGATTTTTTTCCTTAGACTCAAATGTGGTAAATGACCCAGGCAGATTGTTCTTATGTTGCACCTGGCATAAACCCTGCACGATATTGGCATAGTAATTACGAGATATTGCTGGGTTTGGCTACCTAGTATTTTCTATAAGGTTGTTTCAGTAGCTGTTCATGGGTGACCTGATTGGCTGCTCCGAGGTTTGAGTTACAGGGTTGTGCTCTCCTTTTCACGGGCTAGGTCACTCCCCATCAGAGAGTCTTCCTTAGCCATTTTCTTTCCACTCGAACCCCCTGGGTACCCCCTGGGGTAGCTTCACATCAAAATGTATCACCAGCAAAGATTGATTATTTGCTGCTCTATTAGTTGCTTCCCCCATGACTAAAGTCTCCCAAGGATAGCAGTCTTGTGCACTGCAGTACCCCCAGCATCTAGACTGGCACATAGGGTGGCCAGACTTGGACAGTGGATACCTGGATCAGTCTCAAGCTTTCCCAGCCTAAGAGCTGAGAGCCCATAAAGATGATTCAGGATCTCGTGCTGTTGATGGGTGTAGAATCACAAAGGGGTTTTCTCAGCAGAATCCATCCAGCGACCTTTCCATTCACATAGATTCTCTATTAATTCAGGGATTCTTATTTAAAAGAAAATAAAAGGATGTAACTATTTCAGTTGAAATTGGTAGGTTTCTTTTTTAAGTTCACATTTCGCGAAGTGATATCATCTTATAGGTCAAAGATGACTAGTGTTTTGTTTGCTTAGTTCTTATAGACAAAGAGATGAGCTTAGCAGATACAAACTACCAGTCCCTCTTACGCTGTCACATACCGGCATCAAGATACTTTGGAGATGAAACTATAGTTCAACCAGATGTCTGAGAGACCCACCCCACATGTCTCTATGTGACTTAACTTTTGGAGGAAAAATTTTAGTACCTTTGAGAAAATTTATAAGTCACACTAATAGCTAATAACACACTAATAACTAATAACACTAATAACTGTTCTTAGTGGGGGGAGGGCTGCTGAGTCTGATCCTATGGAAGACAGCTATTGCTGAAAAAGAAAATGGCAATAAGAGACTTAATTACAAATGTAATGTCGCTTCTCTGCTGTGAGGACACCAAAATAGACGATGAACACATTCTCTTCAATATTTATTCCTCTGATTTTCATGATAATTGGTTGGTCCCTGACTATAAAAGGGGAAACTTGGCAGAACAGATTACTCAGAGAAATAAGGATGCGAAACAGTCTGTGTCTAAATTTACTACAGGTACCAACCTGGGTGCCTCTCCTCCGTGTGCTGATTGGTCAACATGAGGGCACACGGGGTTGCTGGAAATGGGGGAGCAGGGGACAAGGAGATCATGGCAAGGGGTGAGCTCCCTTGGCTGCTCATGATGCTGATCCTTACCCAGCAGCTGGAGAGAGGCTGGTGGCTGGTTGTAGGAGCAGCTCTGAGATGGAGTCTGGAACACTCTTTCCTCCCTTTTGACATCTTCGGGATTCTTTAGTCAGCCCTCCTGTGTCTAAAATTACTGCCTGAGTCATTTGTTACTGATTCATCCCTTTGGCCTCGATGGGCCAATATGGAGTGGGCCCTGCGCTTATACCTGAGCCAGCCACTGTCCACCTGTCAGGCGCTACACGTGAGCATGGCACCCCAGCAGCACCTTCTGTGGCTTTGGCATTCATAGACCCTCAGACTATTGCCTAACACCCAGTGCTATTAGTTTTTTATTTTATTCTGAGAAACACTAAGAAAACTAGTCCTGGCCCCTTAATAAACCCCATTGTCTTCAGTAAGACTAAGCCGTGTTGCCCTAACAATGAAAGCAGGAATCCTCGTGGGTTTAAGGTAGCAAAGCTTTAATTCCCACTCGTGCCATGTGCGTGTGCGTGTGCGTGTGCGTGTGTGTGTGAGTGAGTGTCTCAGCTGCTCTTCTGGTCCCTCTGGTCCTTTAGTTGAGTGATTCAAGGACCTAGGTGGTATCTGTCTCCTGTGTCTATGGGAGCTCCAAGGAGAAGCGAGGTTTGGGGAGCCCACAGGGCACCAGGTCCTGTAGGCTGCAAAGGCTGAGACACGCATCTTCATTGCTGGGCTCAGCGACACAGCCTTTCACTCTTTCCTGCCGTCACTTCTGAAATGTCTGGAATAAGCCATCACAAAACCGCTTTTAGTGAAGCTAATCAGCCCCTCGCTCCCCCTCGCCTTACTCCCAGTTCTCAAATGAGCACAGCTGGCTGCTTCTCCTCAAAGTTATCTTAGTGCTCACACTCCAGGTCAACCAGATTCTCAAGCTGACATTTCTTGACGTTTCCCACCACAATGAATAGACTAGCCCATTTGCGCTGCTTCTTTCACTTTGTAACCAGTGTTCTGGTCTCCGGGGGTGTTTTGTGCCCTACATACATCTATCAGCGCTAGGAAGGGGCAGACCCAGTGGGCCTTCCTCTCTCCCCACCTTCCCTTACCTGTCTCTGCCAATGGTAGCTTCTGGTTTAACGCACAAGCAAAGGTCGAAAAAGTTGAATGGATTCCCCTAGACGTAATGATTGGCTGCAAAAATTATCAACATTGTCCTATTCTTCAATCACGTGTACCTCTAGCCTATCAGTTATTTTGGAGTATTTTTTTAAAAACACAGTACCGAGTTATTTTTCTTCAGAATCATTGGAGACTCATTTGCTCAAATACTTGAGGGTGAGCTTTTGGCAAACAGTTCTCCTGCATGGCCACAGCTCAGGCGTCAGAATCGACTTTCCCAGGATGCTTACCACCTAGTTGGCACTTCACAGTTGCATGAAGGGTCCAGGCAGAGTCTTGTCTCTTTCGTCTCCTTCAGCCTGCACCAGTTCTCCTGGTGCCCTCGTCGTTAGTACATATTGGGGGACATGCTTTCCCAGCACACTTCAATCTCTCCATTTTTTTAAATCCTTGCTTGTTGTTTTATCCAACTGGTTATAACCCATCACAATGTAAATTTTGAGGCATCTTTAAGCTGGTTCCTGTGCTTTTTTAAAATGTCACCATCCTTTCAGCACTTCTTCCTTTTGACATAGACCATATATAGCCTTATCTTTCCCTGGTCTGATGCTGCAAATAGTCACTTTTCTGCAAGAACCTTGGCTCGGTTTTTTTCACTGGGCACACTCCTTCCTTCTGGGAGTGTGTTTGTTCCCTGCGTTGTGGACAGGGCTGGCACAATCACACACACATACACACATGTGTTCCTAGATTTCTGTGTAGATTAGAAACCACAAATTCTCAACAATTTTTTCAATTCCAAACTGACAGCTCTTAATCTGTTAAAACACCTCATATAAAATTTACCATCTTAATCACGTTTAAATGCCCTGTTGAGCAGTATTAAATACTCACATTGTCATGCGGCCATCACTACTCTCCATCCCCAAAATTATGAACTCAAACTGAACTAAACTCTGTATCCCACTTACTGCTCCCTGCGACTCTGGAAACTGCCATTCTGCTTTCTGTCTCTGTGAATTTGACTACTCTAGGTACTTTATATAAAAGCAATTGTACAGAATTTGTACTTTTATAATGGTTTATTTCACTTAACATATTGTCCTCAAGGTTCATTCATTGGGCAGCGTGTATCAGACTTTCCTCCCATTTTAAGGCTAATATTCCATTGTATGCATCCACCACACTGTGTTTATCCATTTATACATTGATGAACACGTGGCTTGATTCCACCAAATGGATAAAGTGAATAATGCTGCTATAGACATGTGCACAAATTACCTCTTCCAGACCTCTTCTACTTTCAGTTTTTCAAGTGC